ATAATTTGACGTGTATAGCTTTATTAAGAGCAAAAAGATTAGATTTGTTAATGGGTAACTAGAACTCTCTGTAGAACATAAAGAATACAGGTACTTCTTTAAACAAGCTGCTATTAAAAGAAAATATAAATGAACTTACAAAAGAGTTGCAAAAACTAATGATATTTTTTAGCATTCAAATTATTGATTATACTAGGAGTCGACTACTAATATAGCAGCAAATTAAGTTTATAAGAGGGAAGTCTAGCTGGGGTAAAAAGGCAAAGTGGTCTAAAAAAAATAGAGCAATCTTTGCTATGAGACCATCTTTCAAGACAAGTAAAAGCTGAGTATAGTAAAAGCAATCCAAATAAAAGAACAATTGTCTATCTAGAAAAACAATCTCTAAAGACAAAAGAGTTAAAGAATGAGTGCTATATAAAACAGAAAACAAAAAAAGAAAGATATGTAAAGTGCAAGAAAAAGAGAGTACAAGGGTCAGATTAGAGAGGTTCAAGATCTGAGATAGTAAAAATGAGGAAAAAGGTGAATACAAGTTTGGCTTGATCTTAGAGAAAATTCCAAAAGAAGATAGCGAATATTTGAAGAATAGCAAAGACAAAATAATAACAAGTCTACCCAAGCCAAGTATAAAAGAAGAAAAAAGAAGATATTCATTATCGGCAGTCCTTTTTCAAAACATAGTAATGGCCAATAAGAGAAGAAGGATTAAAGATAAGAAAACAGTATTTATAGTTACAATTGAAAAGTCATTAGAAACAGAATTAATTAAGAGATATGTAACTAATCCAGAGCTACAAAAAGTACTCAGAGAACAATTTTGGATAAATAAGAAGCAACCAGAAAAGACACTTCTCTTCTATACAGACAGGTTATTAAAGACAAATAAGATAGTAGTAGCAATAGGGGCTAGCTGGTTGCATATCCGAAAAGATATATCTAAGATAGTCTTTGAGGGTACTGTAGAGTAGAAAAATGGCCCTCATCAACAAAGCCAGAGCTATCAGCAATTCTTTTTGCATTTTTAACAGTTCCACAGGAGTGTAAGGTAAAAATTCGAACAGATAGTGTGGCAGTAATAGCAGCATTGACAAGGCAGCCTGGACTTAAAGAGAAGAAGAAATAGTCAAAATCAAAGAACATTAATATTAGAATAGGTATTTTGGAAGTAGTTAAAATTAAATATATAGATTTAGTATTAGAAAAAGTAAAGAGTTATAGTGGAGAGCAGTAGAATGATAGAGTGGATATTCTAGCAAAGAGAGATGCAGAGTATAGCCAGGTTACAGACATAGCATCAATCTATAACAACTAGATAAGATTTCAGTGGCAATGAAAAGAAAATCAAATCGAATCGAGCCTGAGAAATTTTCTCAAAAAACTGTTTCAAGCAAAGACAGCAGCAAGACTAAGTTTATTACATCTAAGCAAGTTAGCAGTAACAGAAGAGGATAGAGAAAAATTTGGGTATAATCTCTTCTGATTGCATTTAAGTGACTTAATAGGCTACAAATACAAGTTACTCAAGAAAAGTAAAAAACTAAATTTTTGGTTCAAATTAATTACGGGTGAACTGCCAGTGCTGTAGAAACTACAGCAAAGAAATTCAAAGATTTAACTAATGCTAATTGCAAGGTATATAGTAGTGGATCTAAAAAACACTAGACTATATATGGGTATGTGAAGCACAAGAACTCAACTGGCAGAACATAGAAGCAGTAGTGATAGAGATGGTGTGGAACAAATTGCCTAGAGAGGCAAAAGGTGATATTAGTCTAGACAGTTTTAGAAAGATACTAATTGGACTTAGTAAAGAGGAAAAGACATGAGCTAGAGAAAGTTTAGTAAAAGGGCTATGTAGAAAAGAAACATACAAGAATTTAGAAGATGTGGTGAAGTTGAAAAGGATAGTAGATGAGTATTTGAAAAACATTTTTTACATTTTTAGAAATGGGTATTTTGATTTTATATGGAAAGAAAGATGCTACAAGGTAAACTGATAAGAAAGACAAGAAGATATTATAGCGAAGCAAAAGAGACAAGAAACAAGACTGGTCAATGCATCTAAAGAAAAAAAGAGCAAAAACTGCTTAGTAAAAGCAAGAAGATATTTGTCTAAAGAAGAAAAGAAAGAAAGACTAAAGAAAACCCAGCAAAAAGCAAAAGAGGTCAAAAAGAGGTGGAATGATGCAATTGAGGAGATTATAAATAACAGTTCGAAGCCATTTTGGTTTGGCTCTTGATGGAGCTGACAATGTCTTCTGTCCTATGTGTAGAGCAGTGTAACAGGTCGCATTTAGTTACTCAAGAAGCAACCAGATGATGCCAGACCTGATTATTTTAGTTTATATAAATCATGTGTGTAATAACATATGTAATTTTAATTATCTAGTAATAAAGATACTGACAAGACTGTCAAAGAGTTAAAAAAAAAAAATAAAAAATTATTAACTTTAGTAAGTCAATATAAAAATTATTAACTTTAGTAAATCAATATAAAAAAAATTAAAGTTTAAAACAAAAACTAAAAAAAACAAAACTATAAAATATAAATATATTCTAAGCTTTAACAAGCCTTAATTTAACAAAAGTTAGAAGTCAAAAACTAAAAACTAAAAACAATAAAATAAATACAACACAAATATATCTTTAAGTTTTAATAAATCTCAACTTACAAAGAATTAGAAAATTAAAAAGATTTGTTAAAGATTTATCAAGCATTATTGCCTTAATTTAAAAAAATTATTATAAATTTTAAACCAATTTTATAATTTAGTTATAACTCAAAAAAAAAATAAAATATTAAGCTTTATTATATCATAATATTCTTAAAAAAATATAAAAAAATTATTATCAAAGTATAAAAATTAAAATAGTTGCAAAATTTAAATAATTTATCATACCCTGTTATATTGATATAATTGTAAAAATAAATTAAATTCATTAAAAGGGTGTAGCAATTTAGTGAAGTGGTTGGGTTGTCTACCCCAAGTAATTTTTAGCTAAAGTACAGAGTTCGAATCCTACTAAAGATATTTTGAATTTAACTACTGGTACTACAATAATGAATCTTCATCGATTAGTTGGGTGAAATACCTATAACTCTGGTCATACCAATGCAGTATATACTGGAAGATTCTGGAAGCATCTGTGGAGCAATAAGTTATATAGAGGAATGCAAACTGATATAGGTAGTGCAAATCTACAATAAGATTTTTAGAATACATAAAACTAAAAGAGAGAACTAGAAGATTTGAAACTGGCTTGGCAAAACCCGAATAAGAAGGTAGTAAGGACTTTCGATAGTACTGTAGAATGAAAATGGACTAAACTGGAAATTAAAGGATTTGAATGACAAGACCCTTATAAGTTTGGAGTTCTACCAACCTGGTCACCAGAGTCGCACAGGAAGAAAAGGACTTGTGCTCTAGAAGCATGTACTAAGAAAAGGAAGCTATAAGGCATTTAAAGCCAAGCAGACCAACACTTCCAGGCTAACTAGTTTGGTAGTTTGAAGAATTCAAAGATACAGTTTAGAAAAAAGATAAAAAACCAGTACTGGAGTCTAAGCGAACCTTACAAAGGCAAAAGCAGTTAAATATGATCATGTAAAATTAGGGAACTGTGAATAAAATTCTACACCGCAGGATTAGAAACCCAGGACATCAATTGATGGACTTAACAGCATGGTTACAACTGCAAGTAGGAGCCATAACAACTGCGGAAAGGTAATTGTGTGTAGGTACACAAAGACCCTAAATCTGGGCTGATCTTGTGATCATATTCAGTGGATTTAGATCGGGGTAAATTAGAAAGACTATAAATACTTAGATATATCTGTATAGGTAAAATCTGTATAAGGTAAATCTGAGATATAGATAGTTAAGTATATAGCCCTAAGTTTCAAATACAATTAATTAAATTATGTTGTTCATGCAGTAATACTGTATAGAGTAATATATGTTAAAAATTTAATAAAGCATTGAGACCAAGATCTTGGCTTAAAAAAAAAATAAATAAAAAAAATTAAATTCATGCAACCTATAAAGATAAAACTAAATTAACAATATATACTACTGGTGCTTATCCTATTAAGAGCAAAGATCATGAACTAAAAATAGTTTTATTTGTTCCAATAAATAATAAAAAAAGAGATTATAATACTTGACTTTTACTAAAATACACTTATATTGTTTTATATCTATATATATATTATTTAAAAACTGGCTAATTAATCAATACAAGATGTTCTAAATAAAAGTACATTACGCTTCTAAAAACTCTTTCCAAACTTTAACTGAAACCTAAATACTAACATAAAAATTTCGTGTTAAAAGCTTTTATATTTAAAACTTAGAAAAATCTAAAAAATATAATAAAACATATAATAGATGCAAAACCACCATAGGTATGTTTTATGATAAATGTAACACTTAATTAATTTTGAGTTTTATTGTGTTGGTAAAAATATTATTTACAAACTTTAATGGCAGTTTAAAACTAAAAGTTATATACTTCTGATTTAGAATATAATATAAATTGTTGATATATATTTAATTTCATTCAATTTAGATAACAGTCACTTTTTTGACTCATCTCACAATCAAGAGAGACCTTTGTTCAAACAGATGCTCTTTGAAAGCTTTACTTATAGAAATTGTGCAAGATATGCCAACAGAAATCGATGATGAAAATATGATAATTAATGTCCTAGTTGAAGATTATTCTGGACAAAATTATAGCTTCACTGTTAAATTATATTTCCTTACCATAACACCCAATTCAAACACTTGATGAACTCTACCTAATTAACTAAGTCACTGCTTTTTATCATAGGTCAAATGGAAGTTATTGAAAAGGATCTATATATATATGCAGTTGATATTTCCTATGTTAATATCAATTATTGAATAAAAAGAAAAACATATGAAACAAGAAATTCTCAGATGACAACAAATTATACAGGTCTGTTTGATCAAAACTTCTAACTGCAAACCAAAATGTCAATAAAAATATATCTAAAATCTCTGAAACTACAAATTCGATCTCGAATAAGTAAAAGAGTGAATTAGTAACCAATTTAGTTATAGTAAATTCTGATTCAATGAGATAGATATACGAGGGTAGAAGATGGTTATGATGAAGATAATAACTTGTATGAAGAATGTATAAATGAACATAACAATGAAGACGTAAAAAAGTACAACGAATATAAAAAAATTACTGATAATGATTATAAAAAGTCTATACACAATTGTGAAAAGCCAAACAAAGGCAAGAAAGAAGTGATCCAAACAACGGTTCATAATACGAGAAGACAAATTGTCTAAAAATGCGAATTAAACCGAAAAAATATAAAATTACAAGTTTATATATTTACATTGAAAATATAAATTTACCTTGTAAAACTTACATTAAAATATGCTAGTACAAATATATATAGTCGATACTGTCTAAATGCATACCGTCGGGAAAGGCAAAAAAAAAATCAAATTTATGCATTTATACAGTATCAACCAATCAAATACCATAAAATCAACTGTCAATGCATATTACTAATAAATTTATTAAAAAAATTATGCATTTAGACAGTATCGGCTGTATTTGCTTACAATTGCTAAACGCATTATCATAAAATACATTTGCTTTCTTTTATCATGTTTTTCTTTATTTATATGCTTATACAAATATATAAAAATTAAAGATATAATAGGTATAAAATACAAAAAAAGTAAAATTCTTATAAAATTACAAACCTTATTTAACGAACTTACATATGGGATGATATAAATTAATTAACATAAAACTTCAGATTACTATAAAAATACCACGCGAGCACGCATAACAAACTAATTACACAAAAACAATTCCGCGAAAAAAAAATTAATCACCTTGAACTAGACAATTAAATAAATAGCTAAAAACATCTAATTGAAAATAAAAATTGCAAAATCAACGAATAACCAAAATAAAATAGTAACAGTAACGGTCCTGCGCCGCGTCACACGCTGCGCAGCTACCCTAATAAAATTAAGTATTATAGTCTTAAATAATCACTAGTTAAGTAAGCTTTGATGGGCTTGAAATCTTTCGACATTAGCTTAGTTTTTTTTTTTTTTTAATGCAGTAGACTAGTGTCGTGACTTGTTTACTTTTACGCCAAGCTGGCTTATTAAGAACTTTGTGACCTATACAATACTGTATAGCAAATTTAACGTGAACGCAACAATAAATTATTACACAGAAAGTCCAGATATAGAAATTTTAAGTACCACGTACGTACGAATATTTTGTATTCTTTTTTTCTTTCTTATTGAATCTCAGTTGTAAAATGTCAAATAATCTAATTGTAAAACAGCCTGAAAAAACTGAAAGTTCATCTGATATAATCCAAATAACTGCCAATTTTAATCAGTTATATTTAGAAAATAATAATAAGTCACTGAATGATTTTAGTGAAATTATTAAAGAATTGTATAATCTGTATAATGAAGAAAGATCGAAAGGCAAAAATACAGAGCAAATAATTAACATATTGGATCAATTTTTAATAATAAAAAACAAAATCCTGATAATGTGATCAAATGGTGCTTAGAAAATCAAATAAATCCCATGGCTCAAATTATTCTTGCAACTTGTTATCGTTTTGGTAAGTGGATTGAAATAGATGAACGCAAAGCATTTATTTATTATCAAATGTCTGCTCATATGGAAATTGCTGAAGGAATATTTTGCGTTGGTGTTTGTTATGAACACGGAATTGGTGTTAATAAAAATAAAAACATGGCATTCATTTATTATCAAAAAGCTGCCGATATAGGTCATATTATGGGAACAAATAATTTGGGAAATTGCTATGATTTTGGAATTGGTGTTGAAATGGATGAAAATAAAGCATTCATTTATTATTAAAAAGCTGCCGATATGGGTAATGCTCTTGCGATAAATAATGTTGGTTGTTGTTATGAGAATGGAATTTTAGTTGAAAAAGATGAACGCATGGCATTTATTTATTATCAAAAATCTACTGATATGGATAATGCTCTTGGAATAAATAATGTTGGTCATTGTTATGAAAACGGAATTGGGGTTGAAAAAGATAATCATTTGGCATTTATTTATTATCTAAAATCGGCCGATATGTGTAATGGTCTTGCGATGAATAATGTTGGTTGCTGTTATAAAAGAGGAAATGGTGTTGAAAAAGATAATAATATGGCATTTATTTACTATCAAAAATCTGCTGATATGGGTAATAAACTTGGAACATATAATGTTGGTTATTGTTATGAGTATGGAGTTGGAGTTGAAGAAGATAGCCACAAGGCATTTATTTATTATCAAAAGTCTGCCGAGTTGGGTAATATTAATGGATTGTCTAATATTGGTTATTGTTATCTTTATGGGATTGGAATTGAAAAAGATGAATATAAAGCTTTCATTTATCATAAAAAATCTTCTGAAATGGCTTTATATAAAATGTAATATGATGATTTGCATTGTTTGATTCTATTGCTAGAATCTCAATTTTTCTAATCGAAATGCAGAAAAATTTTTCTAAAATACTGAGATTAAAATTACTTTTTTTTATGTACACTACCGGACAGCATAAGACATTCACTCTATACGTAAAGAGCGCCAATTTTTGATGCTTATATAATCAATTCTGATTGGCTAATTTCGATGTAATTAATCTAATTGGTTAATTAAACATATAGATTTTCTTTTTTTTTTATATATTAAATGCCAATTTTTAAATCATTATAAAGGTTGACTCTTAATAGCTTCTTTAAACCAAAAAATAATAGAAAATCCTCCGACAAAAATGTAGTTTGACTAAATATCTATCAATATGTCGAAGGGTTTTTTGATTAACTTGAGTTAAAAAAGTTATATTATTTATAATTGTAAGAACTTAAGAACAGAATAAATTTACGCATCTTTAGATAAACTTCAGTTATATCTAAGGATGGCAAATGTTTTAAAACATGATCTTAAATTCACAATTGGTTGGTTTTTAATTGTTTAAAAATGTTTTAATATGCTTTTAATATATCATGACGTAATCATTATGATTATGAAATTATATCGATACAACTCGATTTATCATTAAATAGTATCTATTGTTTACTATCACTAATATTAAAATAAAAAATAAAAATATTGTAAATACTGTCTCGTGGAGGACCTTCTTTTGAAAGAAGTTCAGTTAAACTTAAAAATTACGGAAATTGACAAACGTCACCTCGCCACAAGTGTATTCATTGCGACGAGAACTTTGTTGATTTAATCAGTGAGTTTAAGGAACATTTAATAACAAGTGTAATAAGTCTCCATAAAATGTAAGATATTTATTAAATTTAAAACTCAGGTTCACAAATTATTCATTTAAAAATATACAAATAATTTATCATTGGTAATAAAACAATTAAATCGATCAAAATACATTTCTTATAACTCTTGCAAGCTTTTTCTTACATATAATGGCAATATTTATACTAAGTTCGAAATTATAAGGAAAGTTTTTTTTTTTTTTGAAACTGAAATTAACCAATTAGAAGCAGTAGTTTCGGTTTCGACCAGATTTTAGCATCAGCTGCCGAAGTTTGAAAAAACTTTTTAAGCCTTTTTTATCAACCCTAGTTATATTACCCTTTTATCCAAAGGGTTTTTGGATATAGATTAGGTAGAGATATAACTAAAGTAAATTTTAACAAATAAATATTGAATATTAATCTGAGGTTTACAGTTAAGTGAAAATAAATATTTATTTCTGTAATGTGGAAATTTTTAATAACAATGAAAAAATCAATATAATAGTATCTTCCTAAGTACACCTTACATAGACACATATTATATAATATAATTTAAATCAAAATTTGAGAATTCGCTCGAGATTCTACTATACACTAAATTTTTGAGTATTATATATCTTGCTAGTGTATACGTCTTGAGAATGGATTTGCTCAAACGGTTTTGGTTTAATCTTACTAGCTTCCAGGATTTGTTTTTTGATTTCATTATCATCTTCCTGGTCTATTTCGTCTAACCAACGAGTGACTATTTCAATAATTTCTTTTACAGTAGGCCGCTTTTCAATATCTTTATCCATACATCTCATAGCTAATTTAACATAAAAATCTGGTCCTAAACATTTATGTCTTGATCCATCGATAATTCTTGATACAAGATCACCATTAAATGGAATTCCATCAAATGCTCTTTGTCCGGTCGAGATCTCTGTCGCGATAACTCCAAGACTGTAAATATCTGATGCCTGAGTATACGGTTGTCCCACTAAAACCTCACGTGTTATATACGGCAGAATTCCACAAATCTTTCCTTCTTTTACATCTTTAGAAAGTCAAAGGTCTGATATATGCGTTATGCAAATTATCTTGCAAAATATTTCCGCTGTGTAAATCTCTGTGAACAAATTCTTGCGAATGAATCGATTCCAGATCCGAAGCTATACAGTACAATATATTCAATTTATCTTTCCATTCCAGTTGTGATACTTGTACAAGATTTTGTCGTAACGTTCCTTTTAATGCATATTCCATAACTATAATGTAATCACCATGATCATTTCTTGACACTCCTTTACATTCCAAGAACGAAGGATTCTTGTAACCAATTTCACAATAATTCTTTAATTCGTGGATAAATTCTTGCTCGTTTTCGTTTGAATTAGGAATCACTTTTAGTGCACCACTACACCATATATTATTAATTCTATCAAACCATTCTGCATAATATACAGTTGCAAATCCTCCTCTTCCCATTTCCTCAATATTTCTAAACTCATTATAATTAATCCAAGATAATTTAAATCTTTCATCGTCTAATATATTCTTAAGAATATATTTGGTATTTCTATTACCCTAATATTTTAGGTTATAAGATATTAGAAGTATAAACCTAATCAAGACTTGCTTACTGTAATACTTTTAAATTAGTTGCTTAGCATTCAAATTTGCTGGTGTTCTCCTCTCATTTGTGTATTGCTACACTATAGTCTAGTGATTCTAGCTATTTTAGATTTTTATATATACTCTAAGTTTCAGCCAACTCACTATAAGAATTCATTCTTATCTAAATTAGGCAAGTAGTATATACCAGAGATATTTCTAATCTAGTAAGTCCAATTCTTTACCACAAATCTCTTTGTATTCACTATTTTTTTACTACTTCAAGTCCAAATATAGTTGTGTTACCAAGATCTCAAGGCTATCTTAGAGTTGTTAGTGCTATATTATATATCACACCAAGAATTTATATATACAACTTTTCTATATTAAGATCTTTTGTGATGCTGCTACCACAAATAGTGCCAACTTTTTTACAATGAACCTCTTTCTAGAAATTCTTATTCTAGACCAGTACTTTATTTGGACATCCTATAGTAAGTATATTCAAATATTTTTAAAAACTACTTCTAGTAGAACTTGAACTCAAAATCTGCTTGCAGAGGGCTCAGTGTCTAGACCACTAGATTGCAGAATCTCAATCTCTTTTTGATTAATATCTTTGTAGCAGCTTTATTATAAAAAGTAAACTATTTTATATTCATTTTAAATAAAGTTCTTTAGCAAGTTGTAATAGTAAATTGTTTTTTTTTAAATTTTAGCAATCTTGTCTATACTTTATTCAATCTTATAATATTATACTATAAATATTACAGTTTATAAAAAGCTAATTCTTTTGATACCTAAGCTACAAGTGTTGATTTATCTGGCTTTTTGCTACCAAAGTCTAAATTGTCTATGTGCAAGCTGCTATAAGCAGAATTTTTCTCCAGAATACCACTTTTATACTAAAAGAGATACAATATCAATGGATGGGTCCTACTAGCCTGTCAAGACTACCTATTCTTCTTTAAAACCTTTTCTATCTAGGTCCAGGCAGAATAGTTTATCTCTTTCTTTTCTATAAGAAAATAAAGTATATGCTACATTTTATAAAAAAAAGAACAAGATTTAGGAAGAGAAAAAGATAAAAAAGAAAAAAAAAGAAAAAAACAAGAACAAGAAAAAAAAGTATATTCTAAATTTGATTTGATTATAAATAATCAAAGATAAAAAAAGCAAAAAAAAGATATAGTAATATTGACATACTACAAAAAAGAAAATTGTACTATTATAACTTATACAAGGCTTAAAAAATTATATAACAAATGCAACATCTGTATATCTCTACTATAAGACTTTGCCCTAATGTATTTATTTTTTTCTGACTATATAACTAATTTTAGATAAAATTTTAATTAATTGGCCTTATCATATAGAGTAGCAATGTAATTATTACTAAACAAAACACATAGCTGCAATTTACTATGTTGACTGAATTTGGAAGAAGTAAACAATGCTAATGTTTTGATGGCGGTAAGCTGTTTTGCCTACTTTTTTAAAAAATTTTGCTATAAATACAAGTGGGTAATAGTAAAAAATATAGATCTTGTACTTTTCTTAAAAAAGAGTATATATTTCTTTAAAAATAATAAGACAAGTAGATCTGAGTACACTGCTAATATTCTTTTCAGTAAGTGATAAACTCTAAACTTGTTAGCAAGTAATATAAGAACTACTTCTAAATAACAGATACCATCCCTATAGTGAGTAATAAGCTCTAAACCTATTAGCAAACAGTATATAAGAACTATCTCTAAATAATAGGCATCAGTTTATAGTTCTTGTTAGTCTTATGTTCTTCTTCTCTAACATAGTTTTACTGTTTTTTTGTTGAAATTATTTGTTTTGAAAAGTTGGTCTGACGGATCATCAGAAAGAGTTATATGTAGTGATGTTTGTAATAGTAAATATTGTTAAAAAAAATATTGTTGTTTTAGAATTAATTTTTTAGATTAATATTTATAGCTTCAGAAGTTCAAAATTCTGTATACAGACAACTCTCTTTATAATGAACTTCTCTATACTGAATTCTAGATATAATGAACTAAAAGTTTATAAATTTCATATTAGTTCAGTATAAAAAGAGTTAAGGGTTCTTAAGAAAATATTATAATTTTATATTGAGAACTTATTTTATATCCAGAACCAACAGTTTGTTATAAAAAAAGTTAACTATATACAATTTGTGCTTTATAATTATATAAGAAATTTTCTGAAAAGTAATGTTAATAACAAATTAATGATTATAGTAAAATTATTTTTGCATATCTGCAAAAAGTTTATTACTAAATTTTTACTACAAATCTAATATAAGTATACTATCTTGAATCAATTATATAAACAAAAAATATAATTTTGTTAGTATATAAAAGTTCTTAATTGTTTTTTTATTGTAAATATATTTTTATTTTTAATAGTAAACAAACTTACTTCACAAGCTACTTTTTAATTTTTTTTTTTTTTTTTTTAATTTTAAAGATAAGACCATGCTTTTATCTTTATAAGATTTAATAAAAACTTCTTACATAATTGAAAAAGGTTTTATATTTTAAACCTAAAGCTAAGAAAAAGAACTCAAACATATATCTAAATAAATCTAAATACTTATCTGTGGCCTAAACCTATTAGGGTGGCCAAGGCTCATCTAGAT